TTCTCCTTAAAAAATAATTCTACCAAAGGACAAATGAAAAAAAGTAAATAAAATTATAAATCTAGATGTGTAATATGTGATATATATAGAGAGAGTGCCCCCCAAAATGTATACACACTTAACAGCTGATAGCTCAATTGATGTTTCTTTCTTTTCAGATTTAACCCATTGGAATCAATAATTGTTCAAAGTGTGTACACTTTTTTGGGGGACACCATATATATATCTCTCTTTAAAAACAAATTTTTCCTCCAACTCATTTTCTTTCTTAGTCCCCCATGCTGTTTATTCTGGTTGAAGTGGTTGCAGCCAGAAACAAAAATGCCCCCCTTGGGATTTCTTGTTTAAAAAACCCTTTTTTTCAAAGGGTTTGTTTTCTTAGACTTGGAAGCTGTTGAAAGGGGCCAGATGGATAGCCTTGGAAGCTGTTTATCTGCAGAGGAGAGCAGGTGTAGATGGGGCATCCTGGGCTTCCCACGCAGCACAGCTTCCAACTCGTGCCCTCCTGGGTGACAGCTAATATTAAGTTGGGAAGTTAAGAGGACTCCCTGAAATAAAAGTGGACACTACAAGTCAGCAGCACATTCCTTTCCTGTCACTGTTGTTGTTGATATTACACGCTAAGACCCTCCCATCCAATACTCCTTAAAGTCTGATATTAAGGAGGATATTGGAGGATGCAGTGCAGTGCGGGATTGCAGGATGAAGGGCTAGTAGGTGAGAGAGTAGAGAGGATGGTGAAAAATTGTCTGAAGTTGCCTTTTCATACAATGCTATCTGCATTTTGTGATGTCTTTTCTTTGTAAGTATGTGGGAAAGACCAAACCATCCCTCAAACATTGGCCCTAGCCTTACCGAGTTGCTGAACCAAAAGCAGTATCCATCTTTTCCCAGATTTCTTGTTTTATGAGAAAAAAAATATATTATTTATGCCATTATTACTTGGGTTCTCCTTTATTTGTGGTAGAAACATTCATTCCTAACTGAATCAGGAGGAGAAAGGGAACTGGAAGAAGTTTGAATGAAACAGAAATTGAATAAACCACGTTTAAAATCAACAGCAGTGTCTAGCACAGCCGTGGGCAAACTACGGCCCACGGGATAGATCCGGCCCATTTGAAATGAATAAAACTAAAAAAAAAAAAGACCGTACCCTTTTAAGTAATGATGTTTACTTTGAATTTATATTAGTTCACACAAACACGCCATCCATGCTTTTGTTCCGGCCCTCCGGTCCAGTTTAAGAACCCATTGTGGCCCTCGAGTCAAAAAGTTTGCCCACCCCTGGTCTAGCACATAGTAAGTGCTCAATAAATATTTTAAAAAGAAATATGAATAGATATATGAATCTTGCAGGACTTTTGTGGATGTAAATTGACATGAAATAATCCCTCTAATATTCCAGCTACTATTTGCAATTTTGATTCAGGGCTATCAGGGATTCATGCACCAGGGAAGGGGGAGCGTCCCTCAGCCTGGCCTGCACCCTCTCGAAATCTGGGACTCCTTAGTCCCTCAGGGGATGTCGGACTGCTGGTTTTGGCTCAATCGCCGCAGGCCAGGCTGAGGGACCCCACCGGTGCACAAATCCATGCACTGGGCCTCTAGTATGCATATAAGATCTTTGGTTAATCTCTTCCTGCCCTCCCCACTGCCCCTTTCCCTCTGAGATTCATCAGTCTGTTCCATGTTTCCATGCCTGTGGTTTCTGCTCCTACATTGAGCGTCTTTCCCCTGGTGGTCAGTGCATGTCATAGCTATCAGCCAATTGGCCAGTTGGCAGGTCACTTAGGCTTTTATACATATAGATACACACAAAGAGAATCTTCTTAGGGTTACAGCATTGCCTTTTAAAACAAATGTTTTTATTGATTTTAGAGAGAGAAGAAGGGAGAGGGAATAAGAAACTTTGATCAGCTGCCTCCTGTACACCCCCTATTGGGGATCGAGCCTGCAGTCCAGGAATGTGCTCTGACCCAGAATTGAAACCGGCAACCTTTTGGTGCATGGGACAGGCTCAACCAACTGAGCCACATTGGTTAGAGCTACCAGTGCCTTTTATTTTGTTTTATTATTTATTTATTTTTTTTAAGAAGTGAAGGGAGAGGGAGAGAGAGAGAGAGAGAAAAAAAAAAACATCAATGATGAGAGACTCATTGATCAGCTGCCTCCTGCCAGCCCCACACCAGGGATTGAGCCCACAACCCAGGCATGTGCCCTTACTGGGAATCGAACTGTGACCTCCTGGTTCATAGGTTGATGCTCAACCACTGAGCCATGCCAGTCAGTCGCTAGTGCCTTTTATAGAAGTTCAGGGAATTTAGCTACAGAGCACTTCCTTATATTTAAAACCTGAGAAGATACCAATGAAACTTAGGTGATTTTGTAGAAGAATTTATTATGAATTATGGCAAAGCTTCTTCGAAAGCAATTATACCACTGGGGGAGGGGGGGGCGATTTCTGATCCAGCCATCCCTAGCATAGCTTGCAAATGCCTGGCACATCCTATATAATAAAAGGCTAATATGCAAATCGAACGAACAGCGGAATGACTGTTCGCTATGACGTGCACTGACCACCAGGGGGCAGACGCTCAATGCAAGAGCTGTCCCCTTGTGATCAGTGCGCTCCCACAGGGGAAGTACCGCTCAGCTAGAAGCCCTGAGTCGGGCACACAGCTGGCGAGCACAGTGGCAGTGGTGGGAGTCTCTCCCACCTCCATGGCAGCGCTAAGGATGTCCGACTCATGGTCTAAGGGAGCGGGCCTAAGCCAGCAGTCAGACATCCCCCGAGGGTTCCTGGGCTGCAAGAGGAAGATAAAGTTCTAACATTTCAGTTTCCTTGGAAGATGAGTAGATAGTTTCAATAATTTTTTGTCCATATTTTGTGACATCAATGATAACAAATCATATGTATTAGTTATCAGAAAATGAAATGTGTATTTACAAATAATTGCCTGATTTTAATTTTGTGATGAGGAAGGAAGAGGGCTACAATTAAAGTAATAGAAATGTCTTCTCCTTCCTCTCTCTCAACCCTCCCCAAAACAAAAAATTTCCTGAGATTTTTAAAAATAGAAATCCTTATAGAAACTGTATAACATAATGGAGTGTTTTGTTCATTTTTCATTTAATAATAGTCATAAATAATAACCAAATATTAGAGTTCTTTTGATTCATGGATTTGCACACTTTGTCCTTGGCTTTTCTCAAAGTGTGAGATTATGAGAGAGACTAGCTGTGACAAGACTTAAGAGGAGAAAAAGATCCTGATTACTGGTAGAAATATAGCTAAGGAGAGCCATAAATGTAATAGAAAAGAATATCTTAACTGAAGAAAATAATCCTAGCTTTTCCATGCACATGAGCAACTCCGTGGGTGGGCTGATTTTGTGAGTCAATCAGACCCAAAGTATAGGTCTAGAGATTACAAAGAAAATACATTTGTAGGTCAGAAATATCTCACTTGGTCTGAATTAACAGCTTTTCTTTCTCGCTCATTTTCACTAATTGGTGTGTGTGTGTGTGTGTGTGTGTGTGTGTGTGTTTCTTTCTTTGATTAGTAATGCACTTACCATTAATTTTGATACAATGTAATTTTAGAAATACATATTGCATTTACTCAGATTTTTGAGTTGACTTTATTTATACTCTCTCCCTTCTTTAAAAAGGCTAGAGGTTTGTTTCATAGGCTTTTGGTAAAAGTCACTTGTTAATGCAACCATTAGTTATTGAAAATCTACTGTGCTCAAGGCACCTTGAACTTTCTAAAGCTGAATAAAATGTGGCCCTTGATGCTTGAGTCTTGGTATGTTATCTTGCCAAGAAGCAGCTGATTTTTAACGAGATGATAACAACCCTGGTTGCATACCAGAATCACGTGCGAAGCTTGTTAAAAATACACCTGCCCAAGATCCAGCTCTCAGCTTAGGGAAATTCTGGTAATAGGTAGGGCCCGAGGTGTGTGCAATTTTAACAAGCTCCCAAAGTGAATCTAATACACAAACCAGGATTAGGAACCAACTTTAATTAAGAAAGGACTAGCTGCAGTAGTTCAGCCACAAGTCAACAAGTGAATGTCCTTGAAATCTACAATATAGCAGCTGGCTGAAGTCATTTAAAAGGCTGTTTTTCTCTATTTCCACTGGTTCAGAGTGGGTAGTTCCAGGCTGAAAAGCACGCCAGAGGAATGGGTGGGCCCAATCTTTTCTGTAAAACCCCTGGAACAAGACTGTTATGGAGAAATAAGATTGCTACAGCCAAAGATCATCTCCAAAGCCGCCCCACTCTGTCCTTATTTGCATCTCACACGAAATGTTCTTATTTGTGTAAATTTTCTCCTTCAGTAGATGGTGAAGTATTCCGGGGCGGGAGCAGTCCTCTTTCTTTCCCCGACTAAGGAGCACAGTCACCCATACAGAATAGGCACTGACAGGTGTTGTTTTGAACTGAATTGAATCCTCATCCGACTCCTGGGGTCTGACCATCTACGTATGCATCTATTCATAGTGGACATTTATAAATATCCATAAAAGTATACGTTTGCTTAAAAAACATTTCAATCACACAAAAGAATATGTAACATACATAAGAAAGAAAGAACAATAACAACAAGCACGCTGGACTCACATCCCAGTTGATGAAACAGGAAGTTGCCAATACCTTTGAGGTTCCCTAGACCCTTTTGAACAATAACAGGCTTCTGAAACTTAAATCAGAATGCGCGTATTCAGTCATTGATGGATTGGATCATCCGTTCATTTGTCAAATGTGTCAGAATCGATGATGACCACGTGGTTATTTCTACTGTCGGAGTGAGCTGGGTCCAAAGTGACATGAACTCTCTCTAGAGGCGTACAGATTGCCTTTGCTGCCAGCAGTCCTAACGCCGCGGGGTCCTCCGGAGCCCGCGTGGTTTCGGCGTGCGGACACTTTGGGCCGAAACTACGCGTCCCGGCAGTCCGCGGGGCGAGTGGGCGGAGCCGGGCCGGGGGCGGGGGCCGGGCGAGAGGGGGCATTGTGTCGGCAGCGCCGAGCCGCATTTGTCTGCTCGAGGTGCTGGCGGAGTGAGCGTTGTGTCCGGCGGCCGGCCGCGAGCTGGAAGTGTCATCGGTGGCCGCGGCCCCGGGAGGAGACCGAGTCGGAGGAACCTCGCGCCCGCTGTCCACGACCACCGGCAGGGAGCGGCGTGCCAGCGGAGCAACATGCAGATAGGCGCCCGGCGCCCTGACGACCCCTCCAGAGGAAAAGAGTCCGGGGCGGCGCTGGGGCGGCGGGGAGCATGAAGGAGGCCGGGGGGCGGCTCAGCTCCGAGCGCTGCTAGGAGCGCTGCGCGCTGCACAGTCGCCAGGGCGCAGCGGAGGGCGGGGAGCCGGGCGGGTCGCGCCAGCGAGCGGGAGCCGGTCGCCGGGAGCTGTTCTGATTTTGGACGCGGACGCTAGGGGCCCGGAGCAGCCCCCGACCCCGGCGTGCAGCCAACATGGGCAACGCGGGGAGTATGGATTCGCAGCAGACCGATTTCAGGGCGCACAACGTGCCTTTGAAGCTGCCGATGCCGGAGCCAGGTGAACTGGAGGAACGATTTGCCATCGTGCTGGTGAGTGCGCGGCAGCGACGGTCGGGGCGGCGCAGCTGACCCCCACCCCCTCCCCTTCTCCCCGCTCGGGGGAACAAGCCTCCCTGTTCCCAAGGGGAGGGCGCCCACCTTTCCCCATTTGTGGCCTCCCCCCGCCTCCTCCCTCTCCGTCCCTTTCCACACCCGCGCGGCTCAGCCCCTCTTAGGGGTCCCGGGATGGGGCTGGGGGCTCGGTGGCGGGCTGCCTGGCCAGCTCCGAACCCCATTTGTCTGGGGGGAAGAAGGCACCTCG